CTCCTCAAATGGGCCTTCCCTTAAGCCCAAACATGTCCTTAGTCCATTTTCTGACTTCCGATGGCCCATTAAGGCCCAATAACTGCTAAGTCCAAGGATTGGCCCAAACCTAGGCCCAAATGTCACAAAGCCCAAATCCTGAGAGTACGCTGAGCATACTCCTCTGTACGCTACACGTACAGCTTGCATGGCTTGTACGTTGCGCGTATTGGCGTGTACGCCCAACGTACTACCCTGTTAAGCCATATTCTTCAAAACTGCTTAATCCCTTAAGACATTAGGTCCAAATTACAGATCTGAGACCCTTAGCATGTCTTAACTCATAAAGTCGACTACTTGGTGGCTTGCAACCCACCAAATGAACCCAAACTTGGAATATAGCAACTAACTTCCATGGAAATGGATAGATCTCATGCATGGTCACAAATGGACCTTAAAGATTGAAACTTTACTGCTTATGGGACTCATATGTCACTAAGGGTGGCAACCCTAGACCTAGAAATGAGTTTGAGTCATAAAGATCCATTCTTGGGACTAAAAAAGATCCTAAAACATCTCCACACTAGATCTAAGCATACATGAGGAAAGTTGAAAGCTTTATACCTCCAATGAGTGTCAAATGGTGAGGTAATCTTAGATCCTTGAGCTCAGGATACTCAAGTTCTTCTTCTCTAACTCCTCCTTTCTTCTTCCAAGCTCTAAATCTTCAACCAAGATCCAAAAAGGCCAAACATACACAAGAATGGAGTATAAGAAGGTATCTAGGGTTTCTGAGGTTGAGAGGTTGGTAAGGAGGCTAGGGTTTGAGTCATAATGTTCTATTTATATGGCTTAAACCCTAAAAACTAGGGTTTGTAATCTGCTCACGTACGCTGTGCATACGTGCATGCGCCTCCCCAATCTAAAGCTCCTCTACGCCCCACGTACGCCAAGCTTACGCCCAAAGTACGTCTTCTGGGCAGCCCAACTACACAGACCACTTTCTAAAGTCCAACTCAATAATCCACTTATCCAATTCATAGCCCAACAATAAATAATAAGTATTTAAAATAAATAATACCTTAAGTGACGGATGTTACATACGCGATCCGAACCTGTTCTTCCATGAAGCTTAGAATCTTATGATAAGTTAGGATTTCAGATTTGGACCCTTTCTAGCCATTCAACATCATAAAGTTGGAAACTTTATGATTTAGAATATCATTTGGACTTAGATCTGAGCTCTGGACAAAAGTTATTAAGGGATAAAGTGCATAACGGAAATGTTGGAATCAGCTTGCGGACGCTGGGCGTACTAGATCTGAACCACCTACACTGGGCGTAAGTTGAGTACGCAGGGCGTACTCAGCCTGCCTTCGATTTTGAATTTTGTTGACTTCCGTTGACCGTCCACTTGTTGACCAAGTTTGACTTTGGGTCAAACTAGAGGATTTTGGGCTATTGGTTAAGATTTTATCCAGTTATAGTGTTAGTGAATTCGTGGGTACAAGCAGTGCAGAAAAGGGATCGTATCGTAGTGTTTCAGAGTTCTTCGATTCAGGTGAGTTTTGCCTCATTGTACCGTGGGTCGAAGGCACCAATGTCGTCCCACTAGTTTTGGTTATCTTTTAGTAGAGGGATGCCATAGGGGATTGTATGTAGTCACGTAGGATAGACTGAGGAGTCTTGATCTAGGCTTTCTTGCATGTTCCTTGTTTGGTTGTAGCTCTAGAGTAGGATCACCTGTTCGGGTATCTATCTCACCTCTGAGAATATACGATTATGCATTCCTTGGATTTTTGGCTATGTATCTTTATGTATAGTATGTTTGTGATGTACTGATCTGCTAGATCTGTGTATTTATCCTTATATGATAGGACGATGTAGTAGTGGTATGTTGTTTTGAGTGCTAGTAGACTGGTTATCATGTAGTCATGTAGGATAGTCTGAGAAATCTTGATCTAGGCTTTATTGCATGTTCCTTGTTTGGTTGTGGCTCTAGAGTAAGATCATCTGTTTGGGTGGCTATCTCACCTCTGGTTACTTATGGTTACGTATTTCATGGAGGTTAGCTGGTAGCGAGATAGTGTGTTGTGAGAGGACTAGTAGGCGATAGTGAGCTGTATTATTGATGTTTTCATGTATTATGTGCCTACTTGATCCTTGATTGTTTATATGTCGACATATGGTGGTAGTGGGTTGAGGCAGTCCTGCTTTGTGCTGTAGACCAAGATACGCGGCACGGGCCGGCTGTAAGCCGTAGGCACGGTGGCTCGGGAAGAGCGGTTGGGTTGAGGCGGTAGGCCAAAAAACCCTGGGTATTCCAGTTTGATGACTGATTGGACCCGTTGCATGTTGGCATTCCAGTCCGATGACGGACTGGGTCTGGGCATTCCAATCCGATGATTGTGGGCCGTTATGCATGCTTGTATGTTTATCGTGTGGGGTATTTTGGGGAAAACTTACTAAGCTTTGTGCTTACCCAATTGTTTATTGTTTCAGGTATCATCGGTTATCATGGGAAGGAGAAGGTGTGATTGTACGCATTCATTAGCAGCAATGAAGATTTCACGCTTAAATATTACTCTGATTTTACAAATGTAATCTGGAGCAAATGTTTTTCTTAATACGAATCTTATTATATGGAGTTTTACCTTAATAAAAATGAAAATTTTTGGTTGTGAAAATGAGACGTTAGAGCTTGGTTTATTCTTGTGCCATTTAGATGAACAAAATCAGTTTCTGGAATCATTTATTCCATTCCAATGTCAAAACTCAAGTATTCTAGGAATCATTGATTCCCATTACAATCTAATCAATTAGTGTACAATCCCATAAATACAATGCAAATATCGTAATTCCAAGCATCATTAATTCTATTCCAATGTGAAAACTCACTTTTATCTGGAAATCATTGATTCTATCCCACTATCAAAACTCATTTTTTTCCATAAAACAGTTAATTCCATTCCAATGCAAGTCATTTAACTAACCCGACTTTCATACTACATTACCCAAGTCATTTCACTACAACTTTCAAAGTAAATTCCCTAATCTTACACTTCATTTTAGAATAACATACAATACAAACGTAACAAAAAACAACAACATACAACATTTGAGATTCCAATATTCCATACTTAATTTATCCAAATCCTTTCTGAAACTCATTGATTCCTTATCTGTCTTCACCTTATTAGTTAATAAATTATTTTCCAATATTAATATCTTTACTTTAGTGATATATTGTCTTACTGGTTCTTCATCTTAATCGACAAATTCTCAGAAATCATAGTTTTCCTTCTTGGAATATTTTATATACATAAAAAAATCACATAAGAAATCAATTATGTAAGAGAAGTAGATGATAAATATTTATGATTCACTTATCAATGAGTTACGACATACTCTAAACTTTCTACTTAGATTATCAGTTATAGTTGAGGTCCAAATTCGGAAAGGCTTCTCGCAGTAATAAGGGTGAGCATAATCAAGTCTACTCCTACTCTTGGAAATGTGTGAACTTGACTTCGAAAATGTTGATGAAGATGATCCTGCCATTAGGAACCGTTGCAGGTGTAGAAAGGGATGAAGAGATGAGAGTGAACCCTACTTTCGTAGTTGAAGGTGTAGATATGCATTTAAATAAGTCAATTCAATAAAAAAAAATGGATAATGACTTAAAAGGGTAATATATTTTTCGATTTGTACACATTTGGTCACTGAGTTTTTTTCGTCCACATTTACCCCTTCAACTTGTTAAAATGTACACATTCAGTCCTTATGACCGGTTTTACTCCAGATTAGCCGGGAACAATGACTTAAAAGGATAATATATTTTTCATTTTGTATACATTTAGTCCTTAATATTTTTGTACATATTTAGTCCTTAATATTTTTTGTTTCAAAATAAGTCATTTTTGTTTTTGTACTCATTCAGTACTTATGAATGATTTCTTTAGGTTTTTTTCACGACATCTTACGTGTTACAATCATTGATGATGTGTTTGGGGCTGTTGATGCTTGTGTCCATCGCGATCTCGATTGCTTGGTTGCGTAGGTCTTGTGGTTTGACTTAGGTCTTGTGTTCTGAACGTCGTAACTTCTTCATACAATATCATAGTTTAACGATCTTTATATCTACGTGTTCATTTTTTGAGTCTACTATAACTTTCGTTAATTTTACTCCCGTTAAAATGTTATATATTTTTACTTACGATTTTATAAAAAAACATCCATACATGTATTCATAAAAATCGTATGAATATAAAGATCGTAAGTAAAAATATATTACTTTTTAACGGGGGTAATCTAAACCAAAGTTGTAGTAGACTAGAATACGAACGCATGAATATAAAGATCGTTAAAAACCCGAGATCGTATGAAGAAATTATGACGTTCAAAAAACATGACCTAAGCAACTAAATAGTCGAGATCGCGATGAACATAAACATCAACAACCTCAAACACCTCATTAATGATTGTCCCAATATGTCGTAAGAAAAACCTAAAGAAATCATTCATAAATATTAAATGACTACAAAAACAAAAATGACGTATTTTGCAACAAAAAAAATATTAAGGACTAAATGTGTACAAAAATATTAAGGACTAAATGTGTACAAAATGAGAAATATATTACCTTATTAAGTCATTTTTACCGGGCTAACCTGGAGTAGCCGGCCATAAGGACTGAATGTGTACAGTTTAACAAGTTGAAGGGGTAAATGTGGACGAAAAAAAACTCAGTGATCAAATATGTACAAATCGAATAATATATTACCATTTCAAGTCTTTATCCCTAAAAAAAATTAAAAGTAATTATTTTACGTAAGGCAACCGGTTACCTCAGGTTACCACAAGCCATTATGTGTACTTCCTTGGTTTTTTTGTACAAATTCTTCAATTTAATGGTCTTTTTTACACAAAAAACGAATAATGGTGTTTTTTTTATACTTTTGGACTTTACTATGACTTATATATGTTTGTGTTTTTAAATATTGAAGATAGGGAATGGAATAATGAACTCTGATACTGACGACAAAGGATTCAACGATTATCTATGGAGCCATGCCTTGATTTCAGATGAAACGTATCAGAAATTAACACGAGACTGCGGTTACAATAACAATAGTAACTACTGTCAAAGCTTAGAAGAAGAACTTGGTGAAGAAATTGGGAACATAGATTTCTACAACATCTATGGCCCGACTTGTACGCCATTGCCTGATGGAATAATGGTGAGGAAGAAGCATCATCGAAGATCTGGTGGAGTAGATCCATGTGAAGAAGAATACGTTGAACATTATCTCAATCTTGCGAGTGTTCAAAAAGCTTTCCTTTATTATTTTTAGGTCATTTTCCCTTTAAAAAAAAAACAATTTTTATATAACCATAGATTTCTGATCGACGTTTTTTTCTACATTCATTAAAAAGTCTATAGATATTTTACATATTCAAAACAAACAACTATGTCTACATCTACAATAAAAATATAATGATTATAAAATCTATGTTAGGTAGTTGGATGCTATTAACCCATCGTTAACAATACTTTTATATAGATTTTGGAAAAAGCTGTTGAAGATATTTTCAGTTGATAAGATAGAAGCCGATATTCAAGATAATCACCATCACCAAAGCCAATATTGAACGTTTCGGAAGTCTCCAGAGACCGATTCCCTCAACTTATAAAAGCCCTCTACTTTCCTGATTTCCTCAAATCAATCAAGTTTTCAGATTTCTCTCCATCTATTCTTACTGAAGATAGCACAGCCGTCGAACGGAAGCAGGATTTGTTTCGCGAATTTCTTTCTGTTGCGGTAGTGATTGAAAGTTCGTTATCCTGAGTTTCAATTAGCAAATTACTTTCAAATTCGGTTACTTCTGGTTCTTTTCTGTTGATAATTCAGGAACTGTTTCTATTGTTTTAACTTGTTGTTGTCTGTGAAATATGAGCTTCTGATTGTTTTACGCTTTAGTATTCTGATTTCTGATAGGTTTTCTTTGCGTCTCTCGGTGGATTTTGTTCGCGATTGAATTGAATTAGTATTGGTGAGTGGTGACTGACTTAGGTTCTGTTTTTGTGAAGCATATAGAACGTGGTCATTAATCTGGTAATTCCCTGCTTATTATCCTGTGTTTCTTCCATCGGTTTATTTGTCCTCCATCTGACTTTAGTTAATTTGAAGCTTTGTGCTTTTGGTCACTGTGTTTAGCCAGGATTTCCGACTGTTTTTTATTTGGTAAAACTACGTTGCTCGTCTTCCATTTTTAGTCCAAAAAGTGGATATATAGCTTTTCTAGACGGAGGGTACTGGTTTACTATGTAGAGGAACAACATCTTACTGGTTTTCTTGATAATTACTTTCAGAATGCAAAGGAAACCCTTAACGTGATGGCCTTTATTTACATCTGATCCATTTCTGGCTGCTAGCTTCACCTTCCTACATGGAATCTTATTTGCGTGAATCTCCTTCTAATTGCTCCCAGTTTGTAATAAATATGATAACTTATCTTTCTTGTTTTGTGTATGCCATTGAGCTGTGTGTTAGCAAGCCTAGTTTCTAAGATTTTTTTTCCTACTTACTTTATTCTGTCATCCAAAAGGGTCTTCGGTTTTACACTGAATGATGTGTGAAGTGGGGTCGAAATAGCATTCAAGTAGGTTGGTGATGTGGTGTGCGGAGATAGCTAACTTGATGATAGAAGATTAGATCCTGTTATGATTAGATTATGGAAATTGGTGTGATAGAAGTAGGTTACAACAAAACTGTTGTACAACAAACTTTCCAGCCAATATAGGGGTAGGAACATGTAAACATGGAGACAGTTTCTCCCTCTTCTATGTCTGATGTGCGATACTTTTGTTTTCTATTGCTGTTTTCCTAACCCATTGATGATTTTATTTGGTCTAACACAGTGAGAACCACCTGCAACTGAAATCTGGTATGCTAAGTGTCATTAGGCAGTGATAGTTAGGTCCTTACTTCTCAGACTCTCTAATTTGTTAATTAACAAAAACAATTTATGTCCACACCAAAGCTCCCTCTATTTACTAACTCAAGCATTCCCTCCCAAATCCTCTTCCCTGTGTCAAGTTCATGTGTTCATGTTTGGTAAAAGCCTTAAAGTATGGGGGGCATTACATTACTTTTAAGTTGTTATGGTTTTTCCTG